ATAATCTCTGAAACGGTTATACCGATTTTGACGTGACTTATCTGCCAGCGGAATGTTAATGTTATAAGGAGTAACTTAGGCTACTTTTATATTATAAAAATATTTGGGGTTCCCCGAAAAAAAAAAAGCAAAGTACACGCGAGCGAAGTCGCGAGGTACAGCTAGTCCTCAATAAAGAATCAATATGCAGATGCGTCGTCACCCGTGAGGACTAAGATGGAATGCCTGTTTTCCAGTAAAAAGGGTCTCCGGTTCTCTACACTCACCATACGAAACACAGCAGTGTTGAAGGGTGAACCGATTTCGATGATTATTTTTTTTTTATTTGAAAGCTAGTGCTTCGTCATATAAATTTGACCCATATAAGTCTGACCAATAGTTGTTGAGTTATCCTTAATAATTTATATTGAAGTCAGTTGTGCAAAATTTTTATTTTTATATTACTTTCAATAGCTGGCTAAACTCTTTATCAACAGAGAAACAGATTGTAAGGTACTTCTTTGTCAAAATTACTATTTCTTCTATCAATCGGCAAAAATATTGGACTATATAACAAATGAACTAGATATATGTGAACTTCATCCAATTTCTTTTTAATTACTGTTACACTAAATTGTATATTAGTTACTTTTATTTCATTAATTATAAACTATAAACAACATGACAATTTTTTTATTAATCTATTTCTAACCTATTGAATACATGTCCAAAAAATCGATAATGGCCATCATCGATATTTTGAGTAAGATAAACATCGAACATCGATGTTGAGTTATCGATGTCAACATCGATGTCATCATCCATGTTTCTACAACATCAATCATCCCTTCCCACGGAAAGTCCGCCTTAACGTAGGAAGACAAAATATGTAATACGGACACTCACGCGCAGCAATAGTTTTATTTAGCTTGCCTGAAACAGATCCGAATTTGGGTGCAAGTTTCTGGTCCTTTCCATTTTCAGTTTGATAGCTCAAGTAAAAGTTAAACAGTCTTAGGATTTTTGCCTTTAGATTCATCCGGCGTTAGTACTAATTTACATGACGGTAATAAGCCACCTGCGCGATAGTTACATCTTTTTCATCATCGTCCTGCAAAAGTACACTGCTGGCCCTGCAGCCTATTCCATTGTACGGAGGATTTGTCTTATACGTCGCGCTTTTCATGCAGACTAACGATCGCAGTACCTACCAAACGTCTCGCACCTTTGACGCTGCTACCCGTGGTGAGTCTGGGTATTTTACATCTGGCGTAAACGAAATAACTATACAAGATTTTTCTTGCATTTCCCATAAGATTCGCTTCTTGCACAATAGTGACGCGCAAGAAGCGAATCAGACAAATCAATTTAATTTCTGCGAAAAACAAGAATGAACATCATTATTTATTTTGCATCCACCTTTTATTTCCTTTTGAAATTTGCTATTTCGTGGTCATGGCTCGTTTGAAGCTTCTGTGAACTGTTATAGTACAATCGCCCAGGCCGTAGTTACCTTAAGTGGCAGAGATTATAGTAGGCATATTTATGTGCAATGAATTTTGAAGTTATCAAATTATTTTCTACCGACTTCAAAAAGGAGACGGTACTCAATTCGACTGTATATTTTATTTTTTATGTATGTTACCTCATAACTTTTTACAGGGTGAACAGATTTCGATATTTTTTTTTTATTTTAAAGGTGGTGCTTCACATGTGGTCCCATATAAATTTGATCAAGGCCTGAACAATAGTTTTTGAGTTATTCTTAATAATGTATATTGAAGTCGGTTGTTCATAATTTTTAATTATTTATTCTATTTTAGTTTTTTTAAAGCCACCAAAGCCACCACTAATAGGTTTTTAACTTCTTTCACATTATGGTTATTAATTTTCATTAATAAGCTTATTACGTATAAAAATATATTATTAATATAGAAAAATATGTAGATATAACCTTAAATGTTTTGTAAATAATTATTTTAGTTTAATGATATTATTAAGTAAAACTTACCATTGTCAATACTTTTTAAAATTTATTAGCCAACTTCAAAAACAGGAGGAAGTTTACAATTCAACTATGTTTTCTTGTACGTATGTCACGCGAAATCTTCGTAAATTGTGAACCAATTATAATTTTTATTTTTTAACAATAGATTTAAACTTCACAGGTGGACCACCTACCAATTTGGTAACAAAACCAAAATAGGGGTGAAATTTTTAATGTCCACTCACATGGTAAAAACCAACTTCAAAAAAACTTAAAATAATATAATAATTACACATTATGAAGTTGCGGCTTTTATTCTTCTATACCTGTCTTAGCACCAACTTCAGAATATTAATGTTATTTTATACTGTTTAGTTCTAAGAAGTTGCTTTCACTTTTAATTAAAAGATATTATATTTTGTACCTAATTAATTCTTTGCTACCTCACAAGTCTGTACATCTGATCATTGCCACCAACACTGATGACACTTGACTGGCGGTAGTTGTTATCAGGAAGCTGCTTCTGCTATTTTTCTGTTTCATTTCTCTTTGTCACCTTTTACAACGCCCATGGGATGTTAATATATAGTAGATTTTTACGCCGCCACTACACGGAAAATTTATTTATCCTATCACTTTAATAGGAATTTATTATGAAGTATATAAATAATGTATGTTATTTTTGTTCCATTACATTTGAATGCCATTCTATCAATCTTAATAGAAAAACTTCATCAATAAAACACTAGTAAAACAGACATCTGTAAGCTTATAAAAAAGTTTTCTTTTTTGCATTACTAGATGATTCATAGACACTAGTCCAGGAGGAAACGGCGCTTGAGTACCGTAAACAATTCCACCTCAATTTTTTGTCAAATTGTCCTACTGATGATTTAAATGCATGTTGCCATGGAGCAAATTGGTGCCATATTGTTTAAGCAGATTTTTAAAATATTCTTTGATAAAATATGAATAAAAAAGGTCCATATGACTTTTTATGATAAAGTTAATATATTCAAAGTTATGAATCTTTAAAGGTTTGAAAAATCCTTAATTCTGATACTTCTGACTTGTTAAAAATACATCAAGTCATAAGACCTTTTTATTTGTACGAGGGTGGATTGAAAAGTACTCGGCCTAACACAGATCCATTCAATTCTAAAAATCAAATCTACCCACATTATTTAGTTCAGTTCAGACTAGTTCATTGTGTGAAGTTCGAAACGTGTGCGATAATTAGTTGTGATTTTATAAATTTATTAACAAAGTAATCGGACATAATTTCCGCGAATGGAGCAAATCGAGCAGCGTGCCGTCATTAAGTACCTCCATAAGAAGGGGCTATCATCAAAAGCCATCCATGATGACATGGTCAGTACATTAGGCGATTGTGCTCTGTCATATTCATCCGTCAAAAAATGGATAGCAGAATTTAAGCGTGGTAGAGAGAGTGTGAAAGATGAACCCCGCTCTGGAAGGCCTTCGACGTCAACTACTGACGAAAATATTAAAAAAGTACTTGATTTAATAATGGGAGACCGCAGATTAAAAATTAGAGAGATAGCCGAGATTATAGGCATCTCTTATGAACGAACTCAAAACATCATTGTCAACGAGTTGGGTTTCCACAAGGTGTCTGCGAGGTGGGTTCCGCGACTGCTTTCAGTTGAACAAAAAAGGACGCGATTGACTATTTCACGTGACTGTTTGGAGTTATTTGAAGCCGATGCAGATGATTTTTTGAATCGTTTTGTTACTATGGACGAAACATGGGTTCATTACTGTACACCGGAAACAAAACAACAATCAAAACAGTGGAGAAGACCTGGTTCACCACCCCCTAAAAAGGCTAAGTCGATTTTGTCGGCAAATAAGGTGATGGCTTCAGTATTCTGGGACTCTAAAGGTGTGATTATGATTGATTATCTTGAAAGGGGTCAGAATATAAACTCTGATTACTACTGCACCTTACTACGTCGTTTACGAGAGGAAATAAAAGAAAAACGTCGAGGAATGCTCAGAAGAAAAGTCCTGTTTCATCAAGATAACGCCCGTGTTCACACGTCAGTACAGTCAATGGCTGAAATTCACAACTGTGGCTTTGAACTGTTACCGCATCCGCCGTATTCACCTGATCTGGCACCATCAGAATTCTTTCTGTTCCCTAACCTAAAAAAGCACTTGGCAGGTCAAAGATTTTTGACAAACGACGAGGTCAAAGCAGCTGTAGACGCATATTTTGACTCTAAGGAAGAATCATTTTTTTTCAACGGTCTAAATGCTTGGTAGGGGAGGTGGCAAAAGTGTATTGAACTTGATGGTGATTATGTAGAAAAATAAAAATATAACTGATTTATTATTTGTTTATTTTCTTGGTTAGGCCGAGTACTTTTCAATCCACCCTCGTATTTTATCAGAGAATTAAAAAAAATTCTCTTGTTTGAAAATAAAAAATTCTTGCAATTGAAAAAGAAAACTTGGTTTAAAAATATGGCACCTAGTTGCACCATGGCAACATGCATTTATATCAGTAGAACAATTTCAAGAGAATCGCATAAAAAATTGAGGTGGTATAATAGTTTTCAGTACTCATGCACCGATTCCTTCTGCACTACTTTGGATGTGATTATGCTGTGAGTGTTACTCCGAGGTTGTAAATTGTGACATCCAATCATATAGTAAAAACTGTGACTTATGGAATTTCTCTTTCTTTCCTTGTTTTGTGATAAAATTGCTGCTATTGTAGCCAGTTCGATAATCATTATCTTTTTTAAAGATAATCAATCATCTTACCCATTTCCAAGTGAATTGCAAACACAAAAAATCACTATTATTATTCTATATTAATTTACAAACATAAATTCTGTAAAAATATATTAATTGCATATGGATAGCATAATGATAAGATAAATATTTGGTCAACTATAACTATATTTAGGATTGTTAAAAACATTACATATTTTGAGACAAAATATAAATGTAAACATAAATAAGAAAGCAGTGGCTAGCATATACAAATCTTTATATTAACCTGTTACTGAAGCACTAAGCCAATTTTATTTGGAGTTATACTTGGACATCTCCAGTTGTACAGATAGTACTGCAAGTTTCCATCACCTATTCCAAATTTAAGAGGTTCTAAAAATTCTTTATTATCCATTAGGTCTAATGCATTAAAAACGTCAAACCCAGAATTCTTTGCAGTTATCAATGCATCTAGCATCAAATCCGTCCAGGGAGTTTTTGTAGACACATTATAAAATGAATACGCAGCTTTTAAAGTTTTGTGCACAGGGTGGTACACTACGGTGGACGGAAGTGTATAATAACTTACAAAGTCAGTTATTGTACCATCCGAAGCTTCAACAACAAAACTGTCAATAATACCGTTTTGTGGCACAAACCAATGCTTAAAGTCTTCTTCTGAAAATATTGGAGCTAAATCAAATTTCTTCAAATAATCATTCAGTAACTTTAAAGCTTTATCACAATCTTGGAGCTCCAACTTGCGGAATCCAATAGTTTTTGGTAAATCTGGTAGCTTAAATAACTTGAGTGTTCTTTGCATAGTCATGTTTCTTGATAAGTGGCTAAATTTAATGTCGATCAGTTTCTTCGGGTTCAGGGACCTATGCCAGTATCGACATGTGGCAATAGGTTTAGGCAAAACTATCCCTGCAGTATAAACTCCTTGAAATATTCCTGTTAAATTAACTCTTCGTGTAATTTCCCTAATTAATACAGGAGCAACTCTCTTGGCACGAAGTTTCTTATGCACACACAAAAAATTTATTTCTACAACAGTTTGCACACGTTCATAGATTCTTAACTGCGCAGGAACGGCAGATATAAATCCAACTAACCTGCCTGATTTTATAACACGAACTCCACAGTGCCAATCCATTCTCCAACCAGGAGGTTGTAGAGCCCATTTCAGAAAGTCCGTTTGATAATCAAAGCGAAACATGCAATCATCGTCTTCAACATAATTTTCATTCAGTAATGTATAAAGTTCTTTCAAAACTAATGGTTCATTGAGATTTAATGTGTCCCACTGGAAACCATCTGGTAAAGTATAAGGTTCAGAACGTATTTCTTCAGGTGCTTTAGGAGGTTCAATAGGCTCATTTGAAACAATCTTTTCATCCATTTTCGGTACAGGTTGAGTAGACCAAAATTTGTAAGATTTATGTAAAGCTTCTTCAGTTGTTTTAGCTGGTTTTTGCTGGAGATTTAAAACTTCCATTGCTATTTTTAAATCTATTAGCGGAATATTTTGATGACCATCGACCGAGTTAGCAGCAACTTCTGATACTGCTGTGCTACCATGATCTCCATCGCCGCTATTGCGCTTTTTCTTATTTTTATTTTTCTTTTTTGGATGCTTTTCTTCATTTAATTTTTGGTTTTCTTCCGTTAAAGTCTTATTGTCCTCCATTTTAGATAGTAAAAATAAATGATTTAAGAAACCACTAAGAAACAAGAATAATTTTTTAGGTTTGGTTTTTCGATTTCCTTGACTTTGAAACAGACTTGACAGCACAGAACCAGAGACTAACTCCACAGACTAATATGATCATAGATAAGCTAATATAAAATGTGATGCTTACGCATATTAACTCCAAGAGGCAAGAGTATCTACATATTTATTTATCTACGGAGCTTTTCTTGTTCTTTTTTTATTAAGATGTTTCATTCGGGATCTTCGTTTTTATAGATTTTCTGTTCTGGATTTAATGTGTTTGTAAATAAGCAAAAAATATTTCATATTCTTCAAAAACACAGTCAAGGGGCAGGGGTCATAATTTGCGATGGGTTCACTTTCACTGTCACTGTTACTGTTACACACTTCACTAGCTATTAAAAGCCGTTAAAAGTTAAATTGGCCGCGTTCAAACAAAATGTCTTTTTTTATTCTAGTACAGAATACCACAAATTAAAATGTAGCAAGCTACAAAATCCTGAACTGAGCTCAAAGAGTATTATAATTATGATTTTTAATCAATAGGTACGTACATAGGTACAGATCCTTATTATTTTTACGAGCTTGAGGTTCAAGACAATTAAAAACTGCCGATTGAATTACCAAAATTGACACTTTAATTATAGAACACTAATTACAACTTAACACCACACTAATAATAAAACACAATTGTACTACTGATCACTTTAGTTCGCAGTTATTTCGCTTCTAAGTATTCGCTTGTATCGCCAATTCAATACTGACACGGTCGTGGTCTATACCGGCCTTATATAGGGCCTCAGATAGTTTCCAGAAACTTCTACTGTAGAAACATCTAGAATGTTCGAGTACATATCGGTCCCGAAATTTATAGAAGGATCTTGTCTCTCATAGTTCTGCTACTCGATACTAGAGGGCGCTAGCGGTAACTAGTGTTGCCATGTACAAGACATTAATAGTGGCGCGCAACATTATAATCCTTCTTATTAGTTTGTGTTACAGAGCATACTCTGTACCCACTAATACGAAATACTAGTGTGTACAGAGCTCAGCTAAGAAAAAACATTACTTTTTCTTTAGTAAGGGTAAGGTTTGCACTCAGTACTTCTTAATAGTTTGTGGTTGTACTTTTGCCAGTGCCAAATAGTAAGAAATTTTATATTACACAATATATTTAATAACTTCCCAACAATATGTTAAAGCATATTAAAAATGTATGAATTTGATAAAAAAAATCTTGATATAAACCTCAAGTGAAAACGAAACATCAAGTGCTCCGTCCGACGTTAATATGATGTTTCGTTGTTTTCATTAATACTTTACATGTGCAAACACTTAAAGAAAACGAAAATGCTAGCTAATAAGTTCATTGTATAACAATTCCACAGCAATGGCAGTAAAAATGGTTTAGTGGCGGTGTAAGGATATCCACTATCCCAAATCGTCCCGTGGGTGTTGTAAGAGGTTACAGATGGAAACGAACCAGGAGACGGGCAGTAGAGTCTTCCTAATAAAAACAAAAAAGAACTGGTTGCCAACCTACCCGCTAAGCGAGCCAAATATGGCAATGTAAATCTATGAGTTCAGTAGCGGACTGTGATAGACTGTAACAGAATAATAAGAACAGGACATATGTAAGTGTAACAGGGACTGGCACAGGTGAAAGACCGTTCCCAATGAAACTAACCAGGAGTTGTTATTTCAAAGGATCAAAAACATTTGGAGAGCTTTACTTAGTTTAGCTACAAAATTCTTGCTTGGCAAAATGAGAACAGAATTATTATATTTTTCATCATCATCACTTATTACCCACTGCTACTCAATGTAGGCCTCCCAAGATATGACACAAAGCACGGCCCAAGGCTACATGCATCCATTGACTTTCTGCGTCTCTTACAAAGGTACTCTATCTAGATAGGCCGTCGTACACTTCGCTTCGCTACGAGGCTATCACTCGAGAACCTTTCTTCCCCATCGGTTGTCAGTTGTTTGAGCGACTTCAGCTTATTGGTAGATTTCGTTAAATCGGTTTCTCTGGTTTTACTGCGTATATCTCTTTATTACAATATCTATATCGCAGAGAAACTCTGGGCATAGTCCCTTCTATAGCTTGCTGAGCGACCTGAAGCATCCTGATACGGTCAGCAGTAAAGGCTCACATCCCCTATGAAATTACTACGTGACAAGATATGTCGTAATCTCACGAACCCTGCTCTGCCGAGTTGAATCCATTAATTGACTTTCCGCTAGAAGTTGGACTCACCTAGTCCGTCGATTCGTCCTAGGTAAATATATTCTTCAACAACTTCGAGTGTAGTGTTCCTACAGCCAACGGCATAGGTGTGACGTAAAACTTTAAACATTAGACATTTTACGTGGTGCGAATTAAGCAGTGATGTATCTGTTAAGAGTGGGCTATACTAGATAAAGTGATAAACCCGTTCCACCTGTATTTGTTCCTTTGAAATAACAGTTCCAGTAGCCTGTTCTTAAATAACAGTCTATTTTATCTGGCAACAAGTTTCGATACTATCATTAAATTATGCCCTGTGAGACCGTTACATTTCTGTCCTATTTCAGCTACTGTTCTTAAAACTATCATTACCTGTTTACTGTTTAATCTTACCACAAATTCTCTTCACCATATTATCATCACAACTAATAAAATAGAGAAGCTTGTTCCAAACGGGCACGCATAGTTCAGTGCTTTTTCCCCATCGCAAAAGTGTTCCCATCCTAGAAGTTTTCACTTCATAAAAATACGAAGGCGTTTTTGTAGATTTTCTTAACTAAGAATTGATTCTGATGATGAAATATTGAGGAAATACTTAGAAAAAGGACATAAAAATGCTCAAAATACATCTCGAAAAGTACGAAATGAGATTTTAAACATATATGGAATCCTAATCAGAGAAAAATTGGTCGATAATTTCAAACCCGCAAGTGCCTACAGCATTTTGGATGATGAATCAATCAGCAGACATATCAGGAAAGGAGAAACTGTCAATAGGACCAGAGATAAAAATTGTTGAGGAAGATTTGTTGGGTTTTGTTGAGTTATAAGAAATGGATGCACAAACGTTAGCTGCTGAAATTAATAAATTAATCAATGCATTTAACATTGATGTTGAGAAATGCGGGAGACAAGGCTACGACGCATGTGCTAAGATGGCGGTGTACAAAAACTATTGAGAGATACATATAAAAAGGGTTTATATTTTCACTCTGCTTGCAACACATTAAACCTTGTAGTAAACGACTTAAATAATGTTCCTGAGATCCTCAACTGCACTGGAACTGTAAAATATACGAAAAATTTCACCAAAATATCAAAAATATGCATCGAAAATATCATTGTTGTGTGAAACAAGGTAGTATCATAAATACAAAAGTATTTAGATGTCCTGTGCATAAATACACAGAACATCGAAATACTCACACACTCTAAAGAGTAATGGACTCCATTTTTAACACCTATTAAAATACCAACAATTTAATGTTATTTTAAATGATAATGATTTTATATATCTGATAATAATGATTTTTTTATAGAATAAGGGTGACAAACGAGCACACAGTCCACCTGATAGTAAGTGGTTGCTGCGGCCCATAGACATCTACATCTATCCTCTATTACAAATCAAAATGCAGATACGTTGTCACCCGTGAGGTCTAAGATAGAATGCCTCATTTATAAAAGCTTTTACAAAAATTTACTTCGCAAATATACGCGTTATAAAATAAAATGATGTGTCTTACCTAGTATGAAGAAGCACCTCCCGCCCTCCCTCAATTGCGTGCACTATCCCCGTCACCACTAATCCCAGCACCGCTACTCCCAACACCACTACACTAGGCAAGACACACCACTGACGATAATACGACACGTGTTTCGCCTCTACACGAGGCATCCTCAGGTGATATAGACTCTACGGTGGCTAACCGCTAAGTGAGCGGCGAGCCAAAACAAGTGCCTTTTATACAAACCGATGATGCAACCGCTCTCTACCTAAGGAGCGAGCGACTGCGTCATGCGATAAAACATGCGACCAATCACCGCTGGACTTACGCAGCCGCTTGTAAAATTAAAAACAAACCGCCGCGCAACGCCCACATTATTAGAGAGCAGGCTTGAAGATATTTAAGAGAGGTGAGTTAGTAACATTTGTTTGTTCATTCAGCAATGCAACGGTATTATTATTACTTTTTAATATCTCTAACTGTTCCAGCACACACAGCCTCAGCCCTTTATTACACGTATGTAAGACTTTAAAGGAGTGGTCGTTGGCTAGGTTGTGTCCAGTGTCCAAAAGATGTTTGGCAAAATGGGATTTATCGGGATTGCAATTCCTGTACGCGGCTGAATGCTCTTTATATAATGCCTCATTTCCAGTAAAAAGGGTCTCCGTTTCTCTACACTCACCATACGAAACACAACAAAATACCAATTGGGTATGCAATAAGCGCATTGTAGTTTAAATACATTTTGACAGCACTATCGGCTTCAACGCCCTCGAAACCCATGAAAATGACACCCATGATGAAAAAATTGATACCTATTGCAGCCGCCACCTAGGATTTACATTTCGGCAGCACTATCGGCTTCAACACCCGCGAAAACCATGAGAATGACACCCATGATGAAAAAATCGATACCTATAGCAGCCGCCACCTTGGATTTACATTTCGACAGCACTATCCGCTTCAGCACCCTCGAAAACCATGAAAATGACAGCCATGATGAAAAAATTGATACTACTTACTTTTAGTACGTACTACTATTATTTATTGTGCTTTTAAAATATTGTAATAAAAAACACCCATGATAAAAAAATTGATACCTATAGCAGGCGCCACCGCCACCAAATCTCTCATTATCATCATCAAGTATTTAAGAAATTTGGTTATTCGAATATTATGTATTTGTACAGCGATCTTTTTGAGCCGCTGCAAACAACCGAAACAATGTCCACTCACGACGGCGACTGACGTTGACATCGAACTGAGTGACGCACTCTCTATTCCATTTAGTAATAATTTTTCATACAAGGCTGCTGAATACACCGAAAATTTCGCCATTTCGCAGCCGAAAAAAATATTTATTATAACTAAAGTAAACAAAATTAAACTGCCATTTACATTAAATGGCTTCCCACATGATAAATGAAGAGTTTTAAAAATATATTGAGCTGAACAATTTATATTTTCAAAAGTTATCGTGCTTACAAGCCTTGCGGACTTGATAAATCCACACCATAAGCCACTAAAACCCCTTTTTTATTTAAAAATAGCAATTAATCGATTTAAAAAAAATATAAGTTTTTTTCACTTATATGTATAATATTATTGCTGGATATGATTTCATGAGACAAAACGTTGGAATCTTAATTTTTAGGCGATAGTAGAACATACCTTGCGCTTTTTCTTAAGGCATGCAATAATACATACAACAGCTACATATAATATATATTACCTAATACTAATATAATAAAATAATATATATGAATTAACAGGATGCAAAGAAATTATCTCTAACACGTTTTTTAAATACCAATAATGTTTCAGAATTTCTTATATTAGGCGGTAGTGAGTTCCACAACCTAACCGCGTGGACAGAAAAGTAGTAGGCGTGAAAATCGGAATTATGGGCGGGAAAGTTAAGAAGATATTTACAAGGGATCGGCATAGTTTATCTGGAGAATGGGTGAAGGAAAATTGGCTTCTGAGGTATGAGGGAGAAGATGGATTGTGAAGGATGTTATAGAGGAGATATAACAATCGAGTGTTCCTACGAAGTCGAATTGGGAGCCACTTGAGTTGCTTATGAAACTGAGATATTCGGCCAAATTTTTGAGCCCAAATATGAAACGGATATAGTGATTTTGCAAGCGCTCGAGTTTGTTAAGGAGCTCCTCTGTAGTCCAAACAACAGGCGTCAGCATAATCAAGCAGTGGTAGGATAAGAGTAAGCACGAGTGATATTTTAGCTCTTAGGGGTAAGACATTTTGAAAATATTTAAATGAATGCAAGGTAAAGTAGACCTTACGACTAACGTCAGCAATGTGCGTGGACCATGATAAATGGTGATAAAATATGACGCCTAAGTTTTTCATAGTAGCGGCAAAGGCTATAGGAACGCCGTTAAAGCAAACGTGAGGTAATGATGTAAATTCTATTATATTACACAAATGCCTGCTACCTATTATGATAGCCTGTGATTTCGTGGAATTAACTAATAGTCCAAAGGATGCAGACCATTTACAGATGCAGCTCAGATCCGCATTTATGGCTTCAACTGCATTATTTGTATCACACACTGGAAAATGACGATACAGCTGTAAGTCGTCCGCGTAAAGATGGAAATTTAAAGATGGATTTCTTTTTCCGCTTCCTTAATAATCATTTTTCGATAGTTCTTGTAAGTTAAATGCACATCACTAGCTAACGCACACAATGACAAATCAAAATTGGTTACACATTTTCAGGCTCTCAGGTCGTCTATACTGGCGTATAGACGACCTGAGAGCTTCAATGGGGCCCCCATATATCTAAATTAGCAAGCAGACTTAGTTCTGTAGCATATGCTGTAAGAAAGATTAGAAGTCTCACATATGTTGAGACAGCTAGATTAGTGTATTTTAGTTACTTTCATAGCGTAATGTCTTATGGAATTTTGCTATGGGGTAATGCGACTGAGATTGAAGCTATATTTGTTTTGCAAAAGGGAGCCGTTCGGGCGATTTATAACCTAAATTGTAAAGAGTCCCTCAGAAAAAATTTTAAAGAAATAAACATATTATCTTTGGCATCGCAATATATTTATGAAAATGTAATGTATGTACATAAAAACATAAATAGCTTTAATAAGAATAAGGATGTGCATACTTTAAACACAAGGAACAAACATAAGCTTGTAATACCAGTTACTAGACTCCACAGAATCAGTAATTCATTTATGGGTCAATGTATACGCTTTTACAACAAAATCCCAGAACATATTCAAAGTTTGTCAATAAACAAGTTTATAAGTTTTATTTAAGAAAAACTGTATAAAAAGGGTTATTATAATATCAAGGAATACATGAATGAAAATAACCCCTGGGAATAAGGTGATCGCCACCATGCTGGTTCTATGAATATTCTTTAAAATTGTATAAACAAAATTATTGTTAAGTGAAATATTTTTGAAAAAAAAAGTACCAATGGGATTCTTGCTGGTTCTTACCAGGACAGAGGTATTTTCCGAACCATTGGTAAATAAAAAATGACTGTCAATAAGAATTTTGTAATAATCAATATTAAATAAAAAATTATTCTATTCTATTCTGTGGAACACCAGCATAAATAGGCTTGTAAATGGAGCATGCACCTTCTACTACGACTTTGTTGCTCCAATCTGCAAGAAAACTGCTGATTCAGTTGCACTACTTCTCTGGAATCCCATAGGAAGGGAGCTTCGAAAGAAGCGCTTTATGCCAAACCCGATCGAAGGCCTTAGCTATGTCCAAACTGACGGCCAGGACCTCCCTCTCTGCCTCCGCCGATTTATGAGTCTGGTATGCCAGAAGATCACCAGTTGAGCAACCCCGACGGAAACCGTACTGGTGGTCACTTTTCAGTAGGTGATCTTCAACCCCATGAGCTGGCAGTTCACAATGGCCTTCATTATTTTGGAGAACAAGTTGGATATGTCTGAGCGGTCGATTTTCGGTTATTTATTAGGGATCTGGTGCACTAAGCGTGAGTATCTAGGGAGAAAGAGTTTTATTTAATTTATTGAAAAGACACGTTACAATCGCTGCCAACTATGGCGCACACGTCTTTAACCCAATGTGAAGAACTTGACGTCTAGGGAGAGTAGTGCAATACGCACCGGGCGCTGTGTAAACCGTATTGTATCGACCTGAAGGCGAGATTGTACTTATTTTTAACAGCGCTGGTGAAGCACTCCTATTATATTGCGATGCAATTTGAAAAGCAGCGACCAAACCAGGCCCCACAGATGATAGAATAAAGAGTTCCATTCCCTGAAGTACCACATCAGCGACAAAATTACGTTGAGATCATCCGGCGAGAAGCATACCCACCCCTGTCTTCAAGGGAAGGATGCAAAAAAGTCCGGATCAGATAATGGTCCAATGAGCCAAGAGGGGCGTCGACGGAGACCTGATATCCATCCGGATGAGAGGTCAGCAGAAGTTCCAACAGGGAAGGTGCAAGATCCTATACATCTAGAATCCGTGTAGGCGAAGTAATCATTTGTGTGGGACCAAAGTCATAAACAGACCTTCCCGCATGATCGATTAAACGAGAACCAAGCCATTCAGTATGGTGGTCGTTAAAATCACCAAGGATCACAATCACTGCCGATGGGGCCTAATGTAGCAAGGAGTCTGCAGCAATTTAGACGTGGTCCATGTGTTGGTATTTGTGGGCATTACCTATAGAGGCACCCGTAGACGCGAGGATGGTCCTCGCTGACATTCAAGAGTGCCGAGGCGTTGAGAACCGATTTCCTCTCTGACGTATACGCAAACTCCAGCCCGAGGTACAAAGGTGTTCGAATTTGTACCCCGGATAGGAGAGAAATATCGACCGGAGTGGACACCTGCGTCTCGCTTAGAAAGAGCAAAATGGGCTTCGCCGTTTTCGGATAGTACAGATGGACTTTATTAACGTTCGATTGAAATCCCCTAATGTTGCAGAAATTCACGGATAGCGTGGCAGAGTCACTTTTATCTTATTGCTCTACTTGCAACGAGCAGTATTCGCCCCCCCGCCCCCCCAGGATACGCGAGGCAGCCTGAGCACCCGCGCTAAGGAAGAGTAGGGTAGCTTGGGTGTGGATGCCCTGCCAGGGATTCTCCAATACCTGGGGTGCTGGCTTAATGAAAAATTAATTACACTACCCTGTTAAGGAAGAGAGGGGTTAGACCTCCGACCACCTGCAATTAATAGGTGGTCGGTAAACTTCATGCTGGTTGTCCGTAAGGTCGTGGTACCTCCTTGATCGAAGCCGGTCCGCCCATTCATTACATTAATTCATTACAGCTCTTCATTTCATGTCTTACTAGGTCGTCACTCCATCTAGTCTGGTCCACCCGTGCGACAGATAAAGCTGCCGTGTGGCTCTTCCACTGTTATGTTGTCTGCCTATATTATTAACTGTAATCTACTTCGTCATTGTTTATGCGTTACACATAATACTTAGTAATAAGTAGCTTTGCTTTATTATGCCCTAAAGTGGGAAACAAGGAGCTGATGATGAATTAGTTTTGCACGTTTAAAGTATTTATATTAGTTTAAATAGGGTCCCAATTTCATTTTTGCCCCGGGGCCCTTGGTTACATAGCCACGCCGCTGTCTGTAGCGACTTCCTCAAAAGTTAATTTGTGCGCTTATGCACCTTAAGAACCTGAGATACTATCGCCATCGACTATCCGTTGAGTTTAGCTGTCGTCGAAATCCCTCTTTTTTTGCTTGTTCGGAATCTCGAATCGGAATTCCGAATGTATGTAGCGGGCCTTAAAAATATTTTTTATTACTTGACACTGGCAAAAGTATAATCGTACAATTCCATTACTAAAGAAAAAATACATTACTAATGTCATGTCATGTGTAACAAGAAAAAAAAAACAGCAACGCTGATTTGACAGTTTGCTTTTGCTTTTGCTATCTCTTTCTTTCTGTCTCAGTTTGCTCTGTGGTTAGTGTTTTCTGCTTTTACGAATCAATAAAAATAACAGAAATCATGCCTTTATTATAGGAAATATTTGGATTAAAGGCTTAATAAACTTGCGATTAAAGCTATATATTTATTATTTCAATTTAAATTTTTTTATTTTAGGTAAGGTGAGTGAGTGAGAACTATCAAACATGGGGAAGGGAAATAATATGATCCCTAATGGACATTTCCATAAGGATTGGCAACGATTCGTGAAAACATGGTTTAATCAACCAGCGAGGAGACACCGAAGAAAGCAAAATAGAATTAAGAAAGCTAAAGCGATTGCACCCCGTCCAGCAGCGGGTCCTCTGAGACCAGTCGTTCGGTGTCCCACTGTACGGTATCATACTAAGGTCCGCGCAGGCCGTGGATTTACTCTCAGAGAAATCAGGGTAATTTGCTTTTAATTCTTGATATACCTTTTAGGAGAGAATAAAATATTCGTTGTTTATGTTTATTTACTTTTATGATTTTTCAGGCTGCTGGGCTAAACCCTGCCTTCGCCAGAACAATTGGTATCGCTGTAGACCCTCGCAGACGTAATAAGTCTGTTGAATCTTTGCAGATTAATGTACAAAGGATTAAAGAGTACAGAGCTCGTCTTATCTTGTTCCCTAAGGGTAAGAAGGTACGTGATCGAACCAAATTTGTAAATTGATATATTATTTTTTGTTATCAGACCGGAACAATAATTCTTTTTTGGATAGGTGCCTATGGCATCTCTGGCTTATTTTGCCTTAATCTCAATACTTGGTAAGAAAAGTATAAGTATATATAACCATCTATAAAGCCTTCGATTGTGTTCACCGTGAAATATTAATCAGGAAACTTCAACACTACGGTGTAAGAAGTGATGCTCTTAAATTAATTATTTCATATTTAAGTAAGAGAATGCAAAAAGTTGTCATTAACAGTATGAGTTCTTCCGGGTCGATGGTGCAAATGGGCGTGCCTCAAGGCTCAATTCTCGGCCCCTTTCTGTTTCTTGTATACATTAATGACTTACCTTACATAGTAGGAGATAACCATGATATAGTATTATTTGCAGATGACACTTCTTTAATTTTCAAATTAAGTCGACAATTGCTAAAATATGACGAAGTAAATAATGCTATATCTAAATTAGTAAATTGGTTCAATGTTAATAATTTGCATTTAAATGGCACTAAAACGAAATGTATGAAATTCATGACTCCAAATGTCAAACAATTAAATACTAATGTAATTTTAAATGGGGAGAAACTGAGTGTTGTAGATACCACCATTTTTCTTGGAATCACACTAGACGTGAAGCTTCAATGGAGCCCCCATATATCAAAACTAGCAAGCAGACTTAGTTCTGCAGCATATGCTGTAAAACAGATTAGAAGTCTAACCAGTGTTGAAACAACTAGACTAGTTTACTTTAGCTATTTCCATAGCATAATGTCGTATGGTATTTTGCTATGGGGACACGCAGCTGACACTGAAATTATATTTGTTTTACAGAAGAGGGCCATAAGAGCAATTTATGATTTAAAGCCTAAAGAGTTGCTGCGACAAAAATTTAAGGAAATTAATATATTAACTTTGGCCTCTCAATACATTTATGAAAATGTAATGTACGTACACAAAAATAAAAGTAGTTTTACAAAAATAAGTGATATTCATTCTGTAAATACTAGAAACAGACAAGCTAGTAGTATCAGTTACTCGACTCCATCAAGTCAGTAATTCATTCTTGGGGCGATGTATACGCTTTTACAATAAAATTCCAGAAAATATACAAAATTTGACCTGCCCAAAGTTCAAAAACTTTATTAAACTATGTTTGTATAAAAAGGGTTATTATAATATCAAAGAATTTATAGATGATAATAACCCCTGGAAATGAGGTGATCGCCACCAAGCTATTTCTAATTTGTTGTGTTGTTAATTTGTGTAACATACATGATTGTAAACTGTTATTTAAAAAAGAGTCCCGCTGGGTTTCTTGCTGGTTCTTCCCAGGACAGAGGTTTTTTTCGAACCAGTGGTAATTATACAAAAGAGTGACTTTCAATAACTATTATTTATAATCTATATTGAATAAAAAAGTTTCTGTTTCAATGGCCAAGTCTCTCTAGCCCTAGTTTCTCTAGTCACCTCTTATGACATACATAAATTGAAATAAGATGATAAATTGTCATAGCCCACATTCACTTTACATATGGTGAAAATTTATCTCTGTATTTCCAGCATGTTACCCAAAAACCACTTTTAAGATAAACAATCACAACATTGAATTACTTTAGTATTTATTACTGGATTTTTAGCTGTTATACACTGAATATACAAAATCTACAATTCATTTGAAAGTTTTATGAGGGATGTTTTTTAGTCTATTCCAAAATTATTATGTTGCAGAATCAAAATATTAATGGTTGAAATTATTTTTATAAGTGAAACGTAAAAATTTAAATTAATAACTGTGTCGTAAATGTCTGCTAACCATGAGGTCCTGGACTTGAATCTCACATTGGACCAAAAAAAATAGTCAAAAGTTATTCTGTCAAGAAATCCTCAGTACTTGCCCAAAGTCAGGAAATTGGCAGTTTCACTCTCGTGTCTCTGAAAGCAAATAAAGCTATTGGTACTGCGCCTGACCTCTCCAGTCGTGTGGGATTACCGTCGCATCTAACTGGGAGTGAGGGAATAGAGAATGCACCTGTGTTTGCACATACAATTAGGCACACGTAGGACAGGATTATATATATAATCCTGTCCTACGCAAATGGCCTTTTTTCCATTGAGACTGATCACTGTAACTGAAACTAGGGTCTGAAGGACATTATAAGTAGATTTAAAACAGGCATTATAATATTAACTTTAACAATCAACAATATTAATGTAGTAGAGCAATATGCTGCAGCTATATGATGGTTTTAGCACAATTGGGTCAACTTAAACCAGGGAAGGACCACAGTCTCACAGATTACCACTGTAAAGTAGCAGCTTAATGCTGCTTGTACCCATCACAGGGACTTGCTCTTTAAACTTAAGGATACTAAGAAATGCTCACTAGGGTGTACTTAACAAAGGCGAACCAGCAAGCTTGTATGGGAATTTCGTAGTTAGTAGGATAGACAAGCCCTTTTTAAATTTTTAATTTTTTAAAACTTGGGACATAAAAGTTATAACCAGTTTAGTTTTTTAAGGTTATATAATAGTGCACCAATGTAGATATATAGGCACAAAAAAACATAAATATTGTTCTGGTTATAAAGTAAATGTTCTAAATTGCTTGTCGCTATCTCTGTAGTGTTTTACTTACCATTAAGTAGGTGGATTGAGATGAGGATCGAACCTACTCAGTGGAGTGCATTAGGAGATACCTATATCCAGCAGCGGATTGCAATAGTTAGATAATGATGAGGTTTTGAGTGAAGATAAATAAAACGATACTTTGTTTTTATAGTTGTACAATGACCACAAGTGTTTTTATATATATACTAGCTTGCCAGGCAGACGTTGTTCTGGCCTTTCCAACGATCCTTCCTATAAAAATCCTTAAATTCGCAATAAAAAAATTTGAGGGTAATTTTTTGGGATAAAAAATATCCTATCCCTCAAGTTGGACCAAAATGCACACAGTGTACAAAATTTCATTGACATCAGTTCAGTAGTTTAGGAGTCCATCACGGACAAACAATGTGACATGTAATTTTTATATATAAAGATATGGCATATATATGTGTGTGTGTGTGTGTGTGTGTGTGTGTGTGTGTGTGTGTGTGTGTGTGTGTGTGTGTGTGTGTGTGTGTGTGTGTCCATCTAAGATTTGCCGATGATCTGGTGCTTCTTGAAGAGAATCCAGCAGCAATAGAACAAATGATGCAGAGCCTAGCAAATATAAGTAGAGAAGTTGGTCTGGAAATTAATGTCAAACTCAAGGGAAATAGACGTTATGGTAGATGGCAACAAGATCGAATATGTCAAAGAATATATTTACTTAGGACAGATAATATCCCCTTCAGATGAAATGACAAAGGAAATAAATAGGCGAATAGCCCAAGGATGGAGAAAATACTGGTCACTGAAGGAAATAGTGAAAAGTAAGGATCTAGGCAGTCACATAAAAAAGAAAACATTCGAGACCTGTATTCTACCAGTTCTTAACACTTCACCATAGAGAAAGGCTAACAAAATGCCATGGAAAGAAGCATGCTACGGTTAAAAATCAAAGACAGAGTCAGGAACGACGACATTAGAACAAGAACAATATATATATATATATATTGTCTATGATTATATTATGTTTATTTATTGAAATCTTCTTAATGATATTAATTAATCCGACGTTCTAAAAATAGTACATTAACATGAAAATAAATGGCTTAGGTGCCTTAATATGTGGTACAAATTCTATAAGAAAACAACAAAAAAAGTATGCGGTACAAAAACTGCCATTCACCTTTAAGAAAATGTTTTAGAATTTTTCTCTTAAACTCACATTCACATACTCTTCAAAATATTAAAACAATACTGTCAACCAGTGTGTTTCCAGATATAACATTTATACTTCCATACGGTCCTTCACTGCAGATAAAAAATCTTCATGCTTAAATAAAATCTATTTTATTGTTCTAAACAGGTTCTAACTCTCAGATTTTTGCATTTAGAACAACGAAAGAAATAATTTTGTGATGTGATTATCAAAACAAAAACTGAAATTGCTTTAAATCTTCTCTAAAAAGTAGGGGTTTTCCTGATGTCTGCTTCAGATCTAGAAACTCAGTTATAAGAAACTTTTTTTTAGGATTTTCTTGCATATTGTGGATGAATTTTGCAAGCACATGTCCTCCATGTATGTAAATTTTAAACTGTAGATTTACTTTTTATTGAATTTTTGATGTAGGTTCTGAAGGGTGAGGCCAATGAGGAGGAGCGTAAGTTAGCTACTCAGTTGCGTGGCCCTCTGATGCCAGTTCAGCAACCTGCACCCAAGTCCATTGCCCGTGTTATTACCGAGGAAGAAAAGGACTTCAAGGCTTATCAATATCTACGAGGGGTAATTTAACCACATTTTATTATTAATTTTCTTAACCCTAAGCATTCAATTTTAAAATTTTTGAGCTTGTATAATTTTTATAATATACTAGCTGGTACTCAGAGCGGTGCTAACGCAGAAGAAATAATTGTAGGAATATCCTTTTAAATTTGGAAGATTTATATTGTTTAATTAGGAATGATAATGATGAGATATAATTAACGTGAAAATAAATTTGTCTGTATGATACGTGCACCACCTAGTGTAAGTTAGTTGCACTATGTCTATAATATTCACGCAAGTGCAAACAATAAGTTGACACAAAGTTTTGCACAAACATTACAAAATATGGCAGCGCATAAAATATGGACAAACAAACATTATTTTTTAAATATTAGATGATGCTTGGTGTTTTTTATATAGAAAATTTTATATAATAGAGTTAGGATGTTAGTAGTGATACATTTCTCCGCATTTAAAAAACTATGATAAATATAAAGTGTACTTTTTTCAGCTAGCAGTGTTTTATCTAATAATTAATACGAAAAAAATAATGACTTGAATTATGTTTGAATTACATTTAAAACAATATTTGTCTAGGCTGACACATTTTTTTCTGTTGACTACATTAATTCACGCACAGATTTTGTAAAGCTAGATTCACAAAGAAGGTTCTGCACTTGGAGCGTTGGCCTATTCAGTCTGGTTGTTGTTTGCTCTGCATGTTCATAGACAGCAATAATATTAAATTTAAAGCAACTGATGATCATGTGGTTTTCGGGTTTGAATCCCAGGTATATGTGGAAGAGCCATGCTATAACTATTATAGATGTTAGCACAAATGGGTCAGCTTGACTGGGAATGGACCATGCTCTCTCAGAATACCAGTGTAAAATAGCAGCTTAATGCTGCTGTTTCATATGGTGATCGTAGAGAACCGAAGATTTACTTTTTACTGGAAATGAGGCATTCCTTATAGTCCTCAGGGGTGACAATGCATCTGCATTTTTATTCTTAATCAAGCATAGATGTAGATGTTTATGGGTCACAGCATCCTCTGACTATCACTTGGACTCATTGATCATTTGTCACCCTTATTCTATGTAAAAAAATGGTTTTTCTGTCAAGAAATTCTCATGAGCATCCCAGAGTCAAAAAGTTAGCCTCTGATAGGACGTTAGGTCAGATTGCCATCCCATCCCACTATAAGACTAAGGGAATACATAGTGCGCCTGATCTTGTGTACACACTAGTGCACTACAATCCTGCCCTACGCAAATGTTTAGCTTCCGTTGTGACTGGCAGCTATGACTGAAATTTGGTCTGGAGGACATTATTATTATTATGGATAAAAAACATGCATTTTTTCAGGCACGCTCTATTGCGAAACTTGTTGGTATTAGAGCAAAAAGGTTAAAGGATGCAGCTGAAAACCCGGATGATGTAACTAAAGCCCCATCAGCTGCAAAAGAAGGAAAATCCAAAAAGTAATTTTTGTTGAATAAACATCTATAAACATATTTATCTGTTTTTATTACAACCCAATGGGTGTCTCTCTGCCCATTGTCTTTTAAAACTTTGTTTAGGGCAGAGCCACTTAAAAATGAGGTGAAATATTTGACAGATGTCATAGTGGGGAAAGGTTATTTGTAAGACGCCCATTACACGCCTAGGCAAGCGTCAAGTTCTATCATGATTGACGTTTGAATGATAGAATAATTTCGACATTACACGCTCATGCTGACTGATGTCAGTCAAACCCAAATTTTCGGAGGGAAAGGACCTACCTATAAACTAAGTTCATTTTCGATTCACCATTTAACTGTATTTTAATCCCTTGAAAAGTAAAAGAATAAAAAATGAATAGGAAAAATTGTAATATTTAATATCATTTTACCCGTTTTGATTTAACGCGCGCCAATGTTCGACCTCTTCCAGCGCATAATCGATACGCGGCTTTATTTGAAACTCATTTATGGACGAAAAATAAGCTTACCTTTTATATTTATTCGTATAGGGTGGATGCCCCTATACGAATTAAATTGGCCTTTTAGTGCCAATTTAAATTTCCTTTTGTGTACCTAATGCCAGCATGGCATAGGGCTATGCCTTTTGAGTTTTTGGTAGGTACCTATCGTAGGTAAGTTTTAGGGGCACTAAAATAAATTCATTACTTTTAATTTTAAATCATGCATGTCACAAGCATGGAATATGTATTAAGATAGACGACAACAGTTATTTTATTTTAATGTTTTACTTCTTACCTTACTGTGGCTTAGCTTTAAGCAGTTCCATTTTTCTTTTAACAATAATCAATTAATTAAAACAAAATTATAATAAAAATTATGTAGTTTTTGAATCTTCATCATCATTTCAGCCCTTCACAAGTCCACTACAGAACATCATCCTTCATAGACTGCCGCAAAGCATGGTCCTGAACCACTTTCCTTGTTATGACTTTTTCATTAAGTTAAAGTAAAATTAGTATTACTAAGTTGTAGTTAATTACATTTATTGTTTGTATTTTTCTTTCTCAAAAAATAATTAAATATTGTATGGTGTTCTTAACATAATATACCAAATGTCTGAAAAGCAAGTACGTATATCATTTGCTAAACTTTTAAATCAAAAACCAATTTTGAAATATAGACGAATTGATCAGAACTTCCTAAACTATAAAATATGTTCTAATTAATGGTATTAATTCCAGTTTATGACAGCTGTTGAAACTTTAAAAAAATATTATATTACGTGGCTGAAATTAGATACTTCTAATTATGTACGTCAAACCAAATAACAGCCCGGGCAGCTGACATTAAGCACTCCATTCATTTCATATGTCTAATTACAGCCCCATTAATTTCTACTAAAATAAAATAAAAAACTTATAGATTAAAACAAAAATAGCTGCATTACTATGTCTATAGTCACATTCATACAAATCAAAAAGCCTAAAGATGAGCTAATGTAAAATATGCTTAATTGTATCGGGACCATAACTTGTCAAAAAATTAGTAAAAAGGCGGAAAGGCTGGAATTAGGGGCGTGGCTGGTATTAGGGGCATCCACCCTACCCGGTGTTTTTCGTGTCCCACAACTCGGGGAGAGCCCGAAAATTTAAAATAAAATCTTTTTCTGACTGAAGCACGTTTCGCGGGAGTGACAACGGGCTGCGCGAGCGCGTGGAAACCGCCTCTTCAATATATTCTGCGTCCGCCTCCATTGCTGTCTAAGCGTTGACTTACGCGTAATTGACGAAATGCCATTACACGTTCAATCAATATTCGTGACTGATAGTTGATTGATGTAAAAATCAAAATATCCAGATATATGTCAATCAATTTCATGCAACCGTCAATCACCGCATTACACGGTAGGTTATTCGTCCGGTGTGCGACTAGGCGTTGTCGGGGTGAAGGAAGATCCTACTGCGAGGTCGTTTCTTCCGAACTTTTACCAAGACAAGTGGCAAACAATTGTTAGTAACCTATAGTGCCAAACACGGCGGCAAGCTGCAGATCGCAACTGCGATAGGAGCGTGAGTGGCACCGTACTCCGGATCAGACAATGGTCCGAAGAGTCCAGAGGGGTATCGACGGAGATCTGATATCCGTCCGGATGAGAGGTCAGCAGAAGGTCCAACAGGGAAGGTACATGATCCTCCACATCTAAGATCCGCGTAGGCGAAGTAACCGTGTGTTAGAACATATGCTAAGGCAGAGTCATACACAGATCTACTTGCAGGTCTCCGTCTCCATCGATGCCCCTCTTGGCTCTTCGGATCGCTGCCTGATCTGGAGTACGGTGCCCATCACATGCTCATTGCTGTTGTGTATGGAACTATAGATCAGCCGATTGGGCTGGGATCATGGGATCATCCCAATCACCCTATCCTATAAAAAAAAACCGTATGATCGGTAACACGAGAACCGGTAGTACCTATATTCTGTGCCTATCGAACCTTTGTCCGTAATGCAACTCATATTATATACCAACAAGGGTTAATCTTAGAGTATTTAGAAAATATAGAATATAAGCAAGCAACGGAGCGCGCGTTAGCGAGTATGGACTGTAAGCACGGGGTCTCGAAATGCAAGGGTGACTTTACTTATAAAGGTACTCTGTGGTTACTACCCAAGTAAAACATCAAAGCAGTATAACGCCGACTTACAGCATTTCTGTATCGTTTTCGCGTTTTGAGTTCTATTGTAGAATTACAAACGGGTAGGTACTGTAATGCTTATTTGCGCAAAAATTATACGGCTTGAGATCCTACGACGGCGACACCGAAAGTTTTTAGAACTGGCCACTTGTAAACGATATAATAAAAAAATAAGTTCAAATTTTGATAATGGAACTCTGCCAATATTATTGTATGTATTTTATTAATTTGTCATTTGTTTACGATGTGGCGGCAAATTGAAAATTGTCTGTGTCACGTCATCGTGAATTTAACGCGAGAAAATTTTCGTACAATGAAATTTATGACTTTCGATGTCATTTAAGTCATCAAGAATGTTATGATAGACTTCGATTGGCCTTTCACGATGAAGCCCCATCTCGTGCAGTGTTTACAACTGGTTTAATGAGTTTAAACGTGGTCGCACTAATCTCACCGATAATCTGCATGAGGGACACCCTTTTACGGCGACGACTGAAGATAACATCAGTGTTGTGCGGCGTATGATAGAGATTGACAAAAGAGTGACTTAGCAGCGGATTCCAATAAGAAACTAACAGTGGTAGAGCCACGCGGAAGCTATTGCCGGCTCGAACCGGGGTGGTACCACGACCTCACAGAATATAAGCGTGAAATAGAGTTTTATCTCTGCGTTGCGCTTGGTGAGTGCAGGTGGCCGGAGGTCCAATTCCCCCCCCCCCCCCTCATCAATATGGTAGCGGAATTAAACAAAAGACTACCTCAGGAGGGTACCAGCATCCCTGGCGAATCCCTCGCTGAGCATTCACGACCAAACTACTCCACTCCTGAGCGTGGGTGCTCAGGCTGCCCTGCGCATTCTCTGGGGCGAGGGGGCAAATTCCGCTCGCTACTAATACTGCTCGGGGCAAGGGTAGCAATAAGACCAAGGCGACCCCTCTCACGCTATCCGTGAATTTTCGCAACATCAGGGGACTTCATTAGAGGGCGAAGCCGGCCTTGCTCTTTTTAACCGAGACTCAGGTGTCCTCTTCGGCTGATACTTCATATATCTCCTGCCCGGGGTACAAATTAGAACACTCCTTTGTGCCCCGGGCTGGAGTTTGCGTATACGTCAGAGAGGACATCTGTTTTCGACGCCTCGGCAGTCTTGAGGACCTGTCCAAACTATGGCTGCGCGTAGACAGCGAAGACCATCCCCGCATCTACGGGTGCCTCTATAGGTCCCATAGCGGTAATGCCGACACAGACCGAATTATCGACCACGTCCAAATGGCTGCAGACTCCGTGCTACAACAGGTCCCATCCACAGAGGTCGTGATACTCGGTGATTTTAACGCCCACCCCGCTGAATGGCTTGGTTCCCGTTTAACCGATCATGCAAGTAGATCTGTGTATGACTCTGCCTTAGTATATGTTCTAACACATGGTTACTTCGCCTACGCGGATCTTGGATGTGGAGGATCATGTACCTTTCCTGTTGGACCTTCTGCTGACCTCTCATCCGGACGGATATCAGGTCTCCGTCAATGCCCCTCTGGGCTCTTTGGACCATTGTCTGATCCGGAGTACGGTGCCACTCACGCTCCTATCGCAGTTGCGATCTGCAGCTTGCCGCCGTGTTTGACACTATAGGTTACTAACAATTGTTTGCCACTTGTCTTGGTAAAAGTTCGGGAGAAACGACCTCGCAGTAGGATCCTCCTTCACGCCGACAACGCCTTGTCGCACACCGGACGAATGACCTACCGTGTAATGCGGTGATTGACGGTTGCATGAAATTGATTGACAAATATCTGGATATTTTGATTTTTAAATCAATTATCAGTCACGAATATTGATTGAACGTGTAATGGCATTTCGTCAATCACGCGTCAGTCAACGCTTAAACAGCAATGGAGGCGGACGCAGAATATATTGAAGAGGCGGCTTCCACGCGCTCGCGCAGCCCGTTGCCACTCCCGCCACCGGGTAGGGTGGATGCCCCTAATACCAGCCACGCCCCTAATTCCAGCCTTTTCGCCTTTTTACTTCGTAAATAAGATTTCTAGTAGTCTTAACTACAAATCTTGTCGGCTAATAAATTCTTCGTAACTAGGGGAAAATATATTTCACATATCACCTCACAGTTTTAAAAGCCGGTTGCAGACCGAAAACTAAGCTATGCCAAGGCTAAACTAAGCTAGAAATATATAGCGTGCACACCAACAGCTAAGCCAAAGCTCAGTCAGCACAGAACACTATTACTCCTACGGAGTCGTCAGTAGTCGTCAGTCAGTGTTGCGCAGTTCAATTAGACGGACGTCGCTCGCCATGAATATAATCGATGAAT